GCTAGTTTTAAATAAAAATTATAATTAATAACCTTAATATTTTAGCATACATGCTGAACTTATCGTTAAATCTAATGAAAAGTCGGCTAGCTTAGTGTTGGTTTAAGTACTAAATAAAAATAAATAATTACAGCTTACAATGAAAAATAATTCAGCTAATCTGTAACTTTTAGAAAAAATCGCTGATTTTCAATTGATTGTGGTGACCAAACTATTTTTATTTTGACGCAACATTGTTTTATATTTTGCTTTAATATATAGATGCGAGAACTTTATTTTAGAAAAATAATATTCAATTGTCTGCTTTTAAAATTTTTCAGAATGTTTCTCTGGAATCATGCAGTTCAATCTATTCTTTTTTATTGCTAGGACTACTGTTCAGAAATTTAATTTCAGAATATTTTGAAAGAGGCCCAGAAAATTTGGTGGTCCTTGGGCCTGAATTTGTCTTGGTCGGTCCCTGGCTGTGCCTTGCAAGTTTCAAACCAAAAAAATAGCTGATATTTTACACAAGTATAGCCAATAATACTCAAAAGCAGGGCCAACCTCACACTTTATGTCTAAACTTTCTCTTCAATTTGCCTTAAGCTCTCGACCTTTTGGAATTGTGCTGTGGTTGACGTATACAGTCTGACGTCTATATGAATAAAGAAAAATGTGGTTAAATCAGTAATTGACAAAAAATAATTTAAAAATTTGAAATATGATTAAAAAAATTCAAAATGAAAAAAAAAGTTTTAGAAAAAATAAATAAAAATATTTAAAATTTGAGAATTTTTTTTTTTTTTGATATTAAAACAGAGCTATTTTAGATAGTACTGCCAGTCCTAAACCTGGAAAAAGTGTGAAGGCAAGTTAGTGTATAAATAATGATAATTTAAACTAGATTTTATACAACCTTCCAATTATCCGAACGACGTTCGGTCCCGAGCAGTTCGGATAATCGGCGCTCTACTGTATTTGGCAGCCCTGTATTCATGTTGCATATCCAAGTGCAGTTGTATTTTGAAAAAAAATTACCAATTTTTCATTTTTTTAAAATTTCAGTACTTTTATGTGTTGAATACTAAATATTTTAGAATTTGTTTTGATTTTTTTTCTCAATAAATTAAGGAAATGTAATTAAAATGTTGAAAAATGTATAAAAATTTGAAGGTTAAATGAACAAATTCGGTCAAAAATATCTTTGGAAAACAGTAAATACGTATAAATATTTCTTAATTATTCCCTTATATTTAATGTAAGCCAATTTCTTTTTCAAGACCGTTTTGAAAATAGGTGTAAATTAAGTTCACCAGCAAAGTTCCTCTCCTTAAAGTAGTGAAGTAGTTACTACAATTTCAAAGTAGTTTGTAGTCACTACATTTAAAAAAAAGTAGTTGTAAATAACTACATTTATTACAAAGTAGTTTTACCTTTCTTTTTAAACTGTTTGAAAGCTCATATGTCACAGCACTTTATTACTGCTCTTTTGTGGTGCAGCTGTTAAAATGTTGACAAAATTACCGAAACTTCTGAAAGATTTAATTATCAAAGACTCTATAAAATATTTCAAAAAAATGTGTAGTATTTAGAAGCTCTGTATTTATGATGTGTATCCAAGTGCAGTTAAATTTTGAAAAAAAAAATTTCAATTTTTCATTTTTTTAAAAATTTTACTACTACTATTCTTATTTAAGAAGTACTCCAGCAAAGTAAGTTTGTAGTCACTACATTTAAAAAAAAAAGTAGTTGTAAATAATTACATTTATTACAAAGTAGTCGTAGTAAACTACAAAAATAATGTTTTTCGGACTATTGTGTTTAATATTCAAAATTGTTTGATATCTTTGTAATAATGCAAATTTATTTCTTTTGCAGGGAGAGAAATTGTGATGGTTTTTTGCAAGGTGTCTTTCAGTGTAAAAAACATAATTTGTGCCTTGGCTGTATAAAGTGGGAGAGGGAACAAAAAAAACTTCTAATGAAACCTGTAAAACTCCCCAATAATCTTGTAGAGCTTATAAGATTTAACATGAATGAATAGTTTTCATAAAAATATTATTTTTAAGAATTAAACTTGTTGAATGCATAATACTTCATATTTTATTGTTGACTTACATTGTTTAAGTTATTCTAGAAAATTTTATTTTGGATTATTTACTCTAGAAATTATTTCATCTAAAAAAAACTGTAATTGTTGATATTATTTGGCACTTGAAATTTATGTACAAAGATAAAAAAATATTTAATGAAATTATTTTTAAAGAGAGTTTTTGTTTCTTTTTACTCTGTTGTAAAGTAAGTTAAGTAACATCTTGAAGCACCAGATGATTGCTTCAGAACATCTTCTACTCGGTGCTATTTTACCATGTTATTTTGGTGTGTAAATCATTATCTCCAAGGCAAACATTAATGGTTACTGACTGGGATTGCTTTTTAAAAAATTTAGCTATCTTTTCCCCCATCAGAATATTTTTGATACATTTGTTAAAATGTTGGAATTAAAACATTTCAAAAATCCTTGAAAGAGTTTAGATGTTTTAGGGAAGAATTTTAATATTAAAACGATTATGAGATTCTAGAACAAACTATATATTAAAATTTCTAAAATTAAAAATTATTAAATCTGCAAAATTTTTTCAAGTCAAAAATATTTCACATCAAAAGCTGTTAAAAGGTTATCATGAGTTGGTTTCGAGCAACAGCATTATGCTAAATGATACTGAATACATTTTGATTAAAATGTGTGACAAAAGTAGAAAGTGATATATGAGAAGAAATTTTGCTTATTTATCTATAATGATAATCTTATACTGTACAATAGTTTAATTATCTATAATGATAATCTTATACTGTACAACAGTTTAAATAATCTCTTTTTTATTATATTTTTTACATTTATTTATGATACAACTTTCGAGATTAATTAAAGTGTAAGCTTATAAAAGGAAAATTACTAAAGAGAGAAATAACATATTTTTTTTAATAGATAAAGAATCATTAAAGCCTAAATATTTTAAACAAACACACAAATAAAGCACTTTAAATTGCAATAACTTTATGACAAATTGGAATATAAAAAAAATAATAAATTGCGTTAAGTTTACAATTGAAAATGGCGCTTTTAGAATGTCAAATTTTACACTGTAGTTGCATTTCAGCAGACAGTAGATGGATCAAAATGATTTTTTTTTAAAATTTCAAGTTTAATTACTGATAATTCTTAAACTAAAGATTTAATCTTAATTATTTGATACTTGAGTATTTCTCTATACACCTTTATAATTTCAAGCCTCCAAGTCTTAATTTTTTTTGCACAGTAAAACAAAATGTAACATAAAGTTAAAGACCCATAACAGCTTTTTAATACAAAAAGATAAATTTAAAAGATTTGTGTTTTTTTTTCTAATTAAATTCGTCACAATTACTACTCTGTATTGTTATTATTGCAAAAGTTAGTGTTTTTTTTTATCAATAAATACTTGAAGCTGTATACATCAACAGTGGCCCACAACCTTTTGTTCGTCTTTTTTTCCCAATCTATTTAAACTGCATTAATGCAAACTGTTTATTATGGCATAACATTATGCGTCATATTACAATATACTATTTATCGAGAATTTTTTATCGGAGAAATGCCTCTTGATAAAATTATTAATTGACGAAGTGGTTTTTATGAAACGGCCTGTCTTTGAAGTGACTGACGCCGATAATGAAAATGAATGTGACCCCAATTTAGGATAAACAAAAAGCAGATGTTGATACCTCAACTGGTCTCAATTAAACACTCTACAACTATCAATTTAATGAAAACAATTGAAACATGATTTTTAGTTCTAAAGTTATTTCAGTATTCACTGATATCAGATTTAATATTTTACTGTTTCATTAATTCACTATCTTTTTGCACTTGTTCTTTTCTCTCTTTATTCACTTGCTATATTAAGAATCTTTAACATAGTTATTGTTTTTTTCCTTTGTGATGCTAATGTGTAGAAAAAAATGTAACAATTAATCTTAAACATAAATGCTTGTAAAATACAATTAAAACAGGAAATGTAAAAAAATTTCTATTTTGCAGAGTGATGAAAAGCAAATTTAAGGAAAAAAGGCTTTTCTGGTAATTGCAACGCATGCAAACTTCGCTACAGACTAAGTTTAAAAAAATTTCGACAAAAATACACTTAATTCTGTAGAAATGCTAGTGACATAATGCATAACTTAGTAGAAACTAAAAAGAATTTTAAAATTATGCATGACCCTGTCGATGAAGTGAAAATCTCTGATATGCATCACAAACTCATCAGGCAAATGAAAATATTTATACTAAGTTAAACAACGACAACTACATTGGACGCCTTGGCGATTTCCGTTGATGAGAACCCACATGGAAATTTTCCAAATTTATTTTTCTTTTTAATACGAAATTTTTAAAAAAAGTTTCTGATGACTCTGCATAAATTTTTAAAAAAAAGTCTAATTTTTGACCGTATTCTTATTGAGATCATATCGTCTGCACTTATTAATTAGTATATTTTAATCTAATTTCCAGAACCACTATTATTGCTTAGCATGTGAATATCTTGTTATGAGTCAAAAGTTATTCAGCTAATCTGTTTTTTATTCTGCACACTGTACATAAATAAATATGGATGGTATTTTTTGCATTAAGGAGTGCTGTAGACCCTTTACTGTCCAAATGTCTGGGTTGCTGTATCTAGTGTATTGTATGGCTATATGGTTCAACGTGCTTCAGTTGCGTAGAGTGTATTCTCCATTCTTAATGATAATTAGCAAACTAAACTTATTCTTGCTACTCTGCACTAACAAATTCAGAGTTAACAGCTTGCAACAAGAACAAATAGTATTAAACGAGTAAAAAAAAAAAGCCTAACCAGGACTGGTAAAAAAGAGAGTTCTTAATTAGCAAAAAAATAAATAAATTATCTGAAAATAACTAAATCAAATTTTCATTTCGAACTCACCAGAATTACTCAATAACATTAATATTGTATGAAATGCAGCAAATTTCTACTCAGAAATTATATTATGCTCTATAAAAAAAATTATCTATTTGAAAATATACCTTGCATCATAAGCAGCTCTTGTAAACCTTTCTAACTGTAAGTAATAAGGGTACAGAGCTCAAGATTTGTTTTTGTTTACATTTGTATTGAAAACACTATCCATATAGAAATTTAATAATACAGTACCCAGAGATACCACAACATGGCATATTTTACTATGAAAATAAATGTATGCAGCCAGACCACAAAAGTAAAAAAAAGACGAAATATTTATTACACTTATTACATGAACAAGGTTATTCAGCAGTATGAACACAACCATATACAGTTAAAGTAGACCTCTCTGAAAAATTTTTATTACGTATGTTACAAGAATATTGTTACTTGTTTGTATGAGTGTGACTGTGTCTAGTTAAAGCTATCTTTGTCAAAAAAGTCTTATTACTCACACTAAAAGAATACGATTTCTCACCAATATGAAAAAGACTGTCTTTAGCCTAACTGTTTCTCAGTGAGAAAACTTTTAAAAAAGTTACAAGAATAAGGCTTCTCACCAGTATGAAAAACAATTAGGAATTATTCAACCATGACAAGTTGGCTGCAAAGTGGAAGAGCTCACTTAGGTGGGGAAAATTAAAGCGTGCAAAATAGCCACTTTCTTTGGGTGAGAATTCTAAACTGACATACCATTCCAATTCTTTGAATCAATACTTTGGTACTCTTTAAATGAGTTTATATCTACAATATGAACATGCTAAATAAAATATCTATATTTACTTTTCCTCAAATCCCTTTTTTTGTTGTTGCTTATTTTCCTAAATTGCTGGAATGAACTTTACTGGTTCTCGTTACTCTTAATTTGTAGCAGCTAACTCGTTATGGGAGACTTATACAACTCTTTAAAAATCTTATTACAAACACTTCAAGAAAAAGGTTTTTCATCAGCATGAACACAACTGTGATTTGACAGATAACTCCTATGTGAAAAACTCTTATTACATTTACTACAAGAATAAGGTTTCAAACCAGCATGAACATGTCTGTGGACAGACAGACAGCTTCTTCGAGAAAAATTCTTATTACATATGCTACAAGAATAAGGTTTCTTACCCGTATGAACACTACTGTGCTCTGTCAGGGAACTCTTCTGTGAAAAGCTTTTACTACATATGTTACACGAATAAGCTTTCTCACCAGTATGAACAAGACTATGCACAGCGACGGCACTCTTCTGTGCAAAATTCTTGTTACAGACACTACATGAATAAGGTTTCTCACCAGTATGAACAGAACTGTGCGCAGTCAGGGCACCCTTCTGTGTAAAATTCTTACTACATACACTACAAGAATAAGGTTTCTCACCCGTATGAACATGTTGGTGTAGAAACAGACAGCTCCTCCGAGAAAAATTCTTATTGCATATGTTACAAGAATAAGGTTTCTTACCATTATGAACACGTTTGTGATAAGTCAGATATCTACTCTGTGAAAAACTCTTATTACATACACTACAAGAATACGGTTTCTGAGCATTATGAGCTACTAGACTGTGCTTAGCCAGACTATTCCTCTTAGAAAAAGTCTCATTACACACGTTACAAGAATAAGGTTTCTCCTCAGTATGAACCCGCATGTGCTCTGTCAGATAGGTGCTGCGTGAAAAACTCTTAGGACATACACTACAAGGATAAGGTTTCACACTTTGATGAACAAGACCGTGAGCAATCAGGTTACACCTCTGGGTAAAACTCCTACTACATATGTTACAAGAAAAAGGTTTCTTGCCAGTATGGATATAACTGTGATCAGCTAGACCATTCCTATGTGAAAAACACTTATTGCATACGCTACAAGAATAAGGTTTCTCACCCGTATGGATAGTTCTGTGAATAGTTAAGCTACTCCTCCGAGAAAAACTCTTATTGCATATGTTACAAGAATAAGGTCTCTCACCAGTATGAACAAGACTGTGATCAATCATGGTAATCTTCTGAGCAAAACTCTTATTACATACACTACATGAATAAGGTTTCTCACCAGTATGAACAAGACTATGCTTAGCCAGGGAACTTTTCTGTGTAAAAGTCTTATTACATACACTACAAGAATGTGGTTTATCACCCGTATGGACCTGTTTGTGGATAGTCAGACTACTTTTCCGAGAAAAACTCTTATTACAGACACTACAAGAATAAGGTTTCTCACCAGTATGAATAAGATAGTGTCTAGCCAAACTATACTTCCGCGAATAAGTCTTATTGCACACGTTACAAGAATAAGGTTTTTCACCAGCATGAACATTGATATTAGGTATGTTTCGGCTTATTGACAAACTCATATTGTATATACTATGTTTTGAATTAACTAGTGTATAGCTAAATAATCTTATAAGACTTTCACTTCTAAAATTGTCAGTTTTTTTGAAAAAGCTACTATAAAAAATTTTACAAGAATCTTTTTAAAAAGAATGACTGAGTTACTGAAGGATATTTATATTACTGGACATTGTATTTGAAGGCTCTGGAAGCAAAGGCAACAGAAGTATTTAAGATAATATCATATTTAGTCCAATTAAGTAATGAAAATGTCTCTCTTCAATTTTTCACTGTGGCAGCAGAAACAAATTTAAGATGTTAGATAACCTTTTTGTTGCTAATATCTTCAAACTATTTTCAAATGTCACGGAACGCAGATCAATGCATCCAACTTTAAATAGCAGCCCTGAGAGAGAGAGAGAGAAAAAAAATAATTCAAAAATCTACATTTTCATACAAATGTGTTGCATATTCTAGTTAGATTTTTTTTTTTAAAACTAGGTATTAAAAATCAAATTTCTTATTCTTACAACAGATAAAATAGTCTTCTGTAACCACACTGGTGGTACAGTTATAGTTGAAGAAATTTTAAATAGGTTTTTTTTTTAAAAATGAAAGTCATTGGTAAAAATAAAGATATAAATTTGATTCCTGCAGAAGTATTTACCATTCGACTAAATGTTTTTAAGCAAATACATAGAAAAAAAAGATATTAAAATTAAGGTGGGAAGTAGAGGTGAACAGCATTAATAAGAATAGATTACATGGAATTAGTAGATTTTTTATTTATTAACAACGTTGAGGGAAATATTTATATTTTAGCGACAATGTTATATAACAGTAAACTTTTCTACAAAAAAAAAAAAAACAAACAATTGTGTTGTTTATTTTCATAAGTTATAACAGTGAAATTATTGAACTAAACAGGAGTAAAAAATCAGACACAAAAAACAGGAAAATTCGCAAGAATAACTTCATTTTTATATGAATAATGAAATGTGCATTAACAAAATGATAACTAAAAACTTATAAATAAATGATTTATTCATCAAATAAATAACTAAATAAATAAATGGTTTATTTATCACAATAAATATAAAACAAACATTTTTTTGCTTACACAGCAATTATTGATATCATTGTTTTTAAATGTCTAAATACAATGGATACTTCATTAGATGCAGGTTCTAAGAATATTCAAACTATGACAGAAGCAATATGTAAAACCGAACAAACAATGACACACGAACCCAAGATCATGAAGTCATAAGCAACACAGTTAAATAGTCCAAAAAAGATGCAACAAGATGAAATATAACCACCCATGATGGCAATAATGGCCTCACAATGAGTTCTTTAGGTTGTTTGCAAGATGATATTAAAATTTCTTGCATGGGCCACTTCATTTTGAAGTGATAATTTTTCATCTTAAGTTCATTCTCTTTTTTCTTAAATAATTCTTTTTCTATTTCAGCTACAGTTAGCAATGTTTTCTTCTTCTTTTTTTATTGCTTTTTAAATGTTCAAGTTTTTAGTCTTGTTTTGTAAATCATAGTGAACAAAGTATAATCATCAAATTAGTAAATTTTTCGTAATAAAATCAGACAAATTATATAAAAATCCAAGACTAAAGAATTATTCTTAATTAGAACAATTTTTTTTATTGTATTACAAATTTATTTATAAGTACACAATAAATTTAAGTATGACATTTAGTTCAACAAAACGAATGAATCTTGTAATTGGAAACAAAAAAATTGCTTCAAAAAGTAATAATGATGATAAATACAATTAATGTACTATTATAAGAAATATTATTTTACTCATGAAAATAAATATGATACATGAATAGAGTGTGTAGAGATAGACTTAAATATTGCTATTTGACAGAAGGAGGAATTGTTTCCAATGTACTTTTTCATGTTGAATTGAATGAAAGCAATCTCAAGATTAAGATTTAAGAAGTTATTAAGGTTTTATGTATAAAAATTATATTTTTTTACTAATACTGAGTCAAAAATTTGGCATTATTGTCTAGGCAATTAAAGAATTGTCCCCAATTGAATCAAATGAAGTAAAAAAAAAATAAAATGATAGGATTACTGGTTCAAACATTCTACATAAAATGTTCACAGCTTTCACAATAGACATACCCTTCATTTAATTCCTTATCACTTTTTGTTCGTGAGATTTTTAATTTTAAAATTAGTCAGTCTTCCACGAGAAGCATAGTAAAATAAGATACCTACGTAAGCATAAGCAAAAAACTTTTTCTTTCGTTTTTTAACTTAGGATTTATTTTATTCAATTAGGTGTAAAAAAAAATGGAACATCTCATTTGTTGAGACAACAATAACTTAAGTCTGCCTCTCCCATCTTTTCTGTAATACAATCCTTATTAAATATGCAGTGCCCCAAAATCTTATAATCATTTTCACATTATAACACTAATAATTAAACTACAATAAAAATGTTAAAATTATAAGTAATAATAAAATAAATTCACCATTTTCACAAACTTTCATTCATTCTGACTGAATGTGGTTAGATTAAAATGAAAAGTTTGCTTTCAAACACATATGAAATTCAACCTAAAAATATTAATTTATAACAAAATGGAAAGGGAAGAGTATCCCAACTTTTCTCTAAAGAGGAAAACTGATTAAACTTTTAAGTAATAGCAACATCAGAACACTTTGGTGCAGGGTCCATAAGATCTAAGATGGGGAACTGACCCAATGTGTTTAATCGATTTTATTTTGATTGTTACCTTCTTGGAATAATATATTCTTGTTTGTGCACATCAGTCACTGCTTGATATTGTCTGCACTAATTAATTAGCATATTTTAAACAAATTTTTAGAACCGTTATTGTTGCATCTTAGCACATGAAAATCTGATTGAAAGATCAAAAGTGATTCATCTAGTCCTTTTTTTATCTTGCACATAGCACATAAATAATACTATATGAAAATGTAGAACACAGTACTTATGATACCACACATGAAATATTTTGCAACAAATATAATTGTATACAGATTATGAAAGAAAAAAAAAGATAAATAAAATAATTATTTCACTTATTACAAGGGAAAGGATATTCACATTATAAACATATCAGTTAAACACCTGTGAAAAAATTTCAATACTTATATGAGTGAGACTGTGTGATACTAATCTGCATGAGTGAGACTGTGCGATACTAATCTGAATGAGTGAGACTGTGTTTATTTAAAGCTATCTTTGTTGAAAAACCCTTATCACACAAACTACAAGAATAAGGTTTGTCACCAGTATGAATACGAGTGTGCCCAGTCAGATGACTCTTGTGTTTAAAACTCTTATTACATACACTACAAGAATAAGGTTTCTCACCAGTATGAACTCTTATGTGCTCAGTCAGATGACATTTCTGTGCAAAACTCTTCTGACACACTTCACAAGAAAAAGGTTTCTCACCAGTATGAACACGATTGTGATCAGCTAGACCACTCCTATTTGAAAAACTCTTATTGCATACGCAACAAGAGTAAGGTTTCTCACCAGTATGAATATGTCTGTGAAGAGTTAGACTACTCCTCCGAGAAAAGCTCTTATTACATACACTACAAGCATAAGGTTTCTCTCCAGTATGAATAAGACTGTGGTCAGTCAAGGTACTCTTCTTTGCAAAACTCTTATTACATACACTACATGAGAAGGGTTTTTCACCAGTATGAACTTGACTGTGTGTAGTCAGGGTACTCTTCTGTGTAAAATTCTTATTACATATACTACACGAATAAGGTTTCTCACCCGTATGAACCTGTTTGTGGATGATCAGACGACTCCTCCGAGAAAAACTCTTACTACATACAGTACAAGTATAAGGTTTCACACCAGTATGATTACGACTGTGCCTAGCCAGACTATTCTTTCGCGAATAACTCTTATTACATACTTTACAAGAATAAGGTTTTTCACCAGCATGAACATTGATATTAAGTAAGTTGCTGTTTATTGAAAAACTCATATTACTCTGTATCAACTTGTGTATAGCTAAATTATCTTAGAAGACTGAAATTGCCATATACTACATACATATAAAGGTAGGAATATAAGGGTGGACAGGATTGTGTCAAGTTAAAATAGGATTTTAGAAAGCTACAATAAAAATTTTACAAGAATGTTTCTATGTGGAATGAGTGATGGAATTATACTAACAATATTACTAGATATAGGCTCCGACAGCAAAGTATTTTAAGATATTAATAATACATCAAAGACAATGGTTTTAATGAATGAATATTTAGGACACAATCCTTACTAGTATAATTAAGTAATGAAAATGTCTTTCTTCTATTTTCCTCTGTGGTAGTAGAAACAAATTTTAAGATGTTAGCTAACCTTTTTGGGGCTATAATCCAAGGCTATCTTCAAATGTCATGAAATGCATCCAACTTTCAATGATTCGACATGAAATGCATCAAACTTCAAACAGCAGCCCTAAGAAAAGAAAGTGAAAAATATACATTTTCATACAATTCTATTGCATTTTTCAGTTCATGAAAAAAATATTTATTATAGAAAATATTTATTATATTATTAAAAATTTAAATTTCATATTATATCAACAAATATAGTAGTCATCCGGGTTAATTCCTGGTCAAAAAGCATTAACATTCAATTATTACAAAACCTATCTAAGCTTGAGTTACCAATTTTGCACCGTGTTGTCCACCTAATAAAATATTTATTTTATCAATAATGCACAAATAATTTGTGACCAAAATTTACCCCCCCCCCCGGAAGGGGATGATTCCTGGTCACTTATGGGTTAATTATTGGTCACTCACATATTTGGTGCAGATGCCTATGTTTTTTTATGTATATTATTTATACAATTTATTAAACTAATTAAATGATTAATTTTATTATCTATAGCTAATTAAACACTGTACTTAGTTATTTAAGGGTTAAATACAAATTTATTCAACATGAGAAATATATACGTTTGACACATCTTTAGCCAAAATAAATTTCATACAATTTGAATGCAATTTTATAGGTTCTATATATGCTGTGAATGGATCTAAACCTTTCAAATCAATGGGTTCATAAAAAATACAGTGAATGCCAATTGTATCTATTCTATTTCGCTTCGGGCAGCGTAAGTTTCCTGCTCCTCTTTCCAGGTACTTCACTGCCCTCCACTTTTGTGACTTTTTCAATATAGAACAGATCTTTCACCTCCTAGATCCTAGAACATATCTATAATATACAACAGAGTATCTATGCTCTTCTATTGAATTCTGTATGTTTTCAATTACATTTTGCAATGATGATGCATTTTGATTCAACTGCTCAATCTTGGTTGAAATATCTGGTGGTTCATCCAGTTAAAGCTTAAGTAACTTTGCAGCTAAGGCTCAAAGAGTTGCAGATAACTAAAATAAGTGAGATATGGCAATAATAGACAAAATAACAATGCATAAATGATAACAGTATTGACTAGGAATTACCCCAGTGACCAAGAATTACCTCAGGAATATGGGGCAGAATTTGGTGCACATGTCCTGAAAATTATTTAAAATAATAATAGTAAATCCAAACTATTTTTCTGTAACTGAAGTAGTTCCTAATTCAACCAAAAAGAGAAAAAAGAAAAATATTTAAAACCTTAGTAGTAACTAAGATTTTTGAAAAAATGTATCATAACTAAGGCCAATGTTGTTTTACAGAAATTTAAAGAACCACTTCAAAAAGTTTTTTTTTTTCAAAATAAATAAACAACAAACTCATAATTAAGTACCAAATTCCAATGAGGATAGTTCAGAGTACCTTTATGATTTTTTTCATTTTGGTGAAGTGTTCTTAAAACATAAAAGGGACTATGACCAGGAATTATCCCAGAAACTTGCTGACCAGGAATTACTCTGGGTGACTCCAGTCTTTACAACATAATTACAATTAAAGAAATTTTTAAATGTGTTTATCCCTAAATAAGAAAGTCTTTGGACAAATGAGCATTTAGAATTTTACAATGAAACCTCTAGGGAGTGACCATTCTCTGTTCCACAGTAAAACGGTCATTAATGGAGTTGGCTCGTTCTTAGGGGTAACTTACCTCCATTGACTTCAAAATGTTATTGAAGGTACATGATTTTTCGCAAACGGTTTTTATTTTGCTCAGTGTTACTTTCTTGGTGCAGAAATGCCACTTGTGTTGGCGTCAGAAAACCGGATTGATGAATAAAATTTAGCGTCAATAAAAATGATCCCGACTAATATAATTATGTGTAAAACAAATTTATCAATTATGCATGATAGAACTATTTTAAATAAAAAACAATTATATTTCTAGTTTAAGCAATGTTCCCCCTAAAAGTTTTTAGAAGGACGGCCCACCCATTCATCCCTATAAATGTAACCTTTTTTGTAAAAACATTGCCTTTTTTATTAATATTCCAATTTAAAAAAATAAATAACTCACTGTTTAAATAATAATTACACACTGATAAAATCACCTGAATTTATAGGTTTAATTCTGATTACTATTATAGATATTTACTTTGTTAGGATTATCTTCCACTGAAACTTTCACAATAGACTTACCGTTTGTTTCAGTCCTTGATCACCCTTAGTTTCGGACTTTTAGTTTTGAAATCAGACAATAGTCTTCTGGCCGCTTTGTACATGGAAATCAATACCTCACTTGCCTAAATAGCATTGACAGATATCAGATACATGAATAGGTATAAGATATAAACTGATTTTTTATACATAAACTGAAATAGCTTATCAATTAATCCTCTTTTTTTCATTTTATGAATTGCGAAAAAATTTATAAAATAATAATGCTGGATCCAAAAACAAAATAATGTTTGTCAAAGTGGAGAGAAACAATAAAAAATGGTTAACCTTTACAAGCAACTTTTTGGGTGGCTCTTATAGATTACTTCAAATCAAGAAATTGCCTTTAAAGTTGAGAATAAACTTAATGGTTGCTTATAACTCATGCAATAACCTTATTATTATTTTATTTTTAATATTTAAAATGTATTTTTAACCTATCAATAATACATTACTAGAATTCAAAATCATCTTAAAAATAGAATATCTAGAGTTCTGGAAAAGGAGTAAATATGTTATAGAAGACATTATTGAATATAGTCCGTGGGTTTGTCAATATTTAGATTATTTTAATTAAAAAATTTAACTCAGTTTGAAGTTCATAATAGTGGTTACATTTATTTGTTTTAAGATCAAGACTAAAGTCTTTATTTTAATTTTATTTAAAATACATTTTTATTTTATTTAGAAAATATTTTTATTGCTTTTTGCGCATTTAGTGAAAATAAAAAATAATAAAAAAAGCAAAATATCAATAAGATGATTAATTTTTAACTGTGGAAATATGCCCACACCAGGTGATTGAGCAGTCAGCATGCCTGACTGCAAAACCAGGTTACAGGTTCGAATTTCGCTCAGGGCATGAATGTTTCTCTCTGCTATGTGATGCGCGAACGTTGCACACCCTATGAATGGGTATCTGTGGCTGAATAATGTTGTTCACCTCTATGAGTAATGTTCACACATTAACATAAAACATTAAAGAACAATATTTCTGCATCCTCCAAGGCAAAAATGAACTAAAGTTCAGTGTCTGCCATTAAAAAAAAAAAAATTAAAAATATTTCATTTAGTGTACGATTCCATATTTCATTTAAAAAAGTTACTGAGCAATTTTGATTAGGTCAAGCATTCATATTTACTAGTTTAATTATACTTTTCTAGACTTTCTTATTTTAAATTTTTACAAAAATTTACTTTAATCTAAATTTTAATATAGTTTCGGGCATGTGATTGCTGGGCCATTGTTTCATTAACAAATTTTAACATTCACTAATTTAGAATTATTTCTGCTTAGTAAAATTTCTTAGTTTTGTTTAAATTTCAATTGAATATTTTAATTTCTTTTACTTTTTGGTAATTTTATTTCATAAAATACACACTAAAAATACGTATTTCACTATAATAAAATAATCAGTTGTCATGCCAGTATGGCGATGGCAGTCGCCAAATGTTCCACAAATGTCGCTAAAATCACACACATAGGTGACAAATTTGTCGCTTTGAAATTTGTTTGGAATTCATAAAATAGTAACTAAAAAATACACGATTCGAATTTTCCATATTATTTGAAATATATCGAAATATTTAAAGCCCATGTGAAAAACAATATCAAAAACTGCCGAAAACACAATAGATTTACGATACTATCGGTGTAAATTGAACTCGTCAAAAAGTGATTATTCCAAACGCATGATTCAAATATTACGTGTGAAGAAAAAAAATAGTAATAGTAACCCTGTAGAACAAAAAGTAACTTTTTTTTACTTTTCAAAATAAAATCTTTCCGCTCTGCGACAATGTCTTTGTGATTCTGCCACGAGGGTTTACCATAACATGAATTACTGAATAGTAAAGTTCGATTTTTTCTCCAGCTTGTCTATCATAATAAGCTTTTGAACAACTTAATGAATATTTAAGTGGTCTTAAGGCCTGTTTAGACGATCCAATTTCTTGGACAGAGATTGATTGATATTGATGGAAACTTGTTCTGCTTTGAGCTTGGATCGTGTAAACAAACATCCAAAAACTTGGTCCAATTTCTTGGACGATAGTAGAGCATGTTCTACTTTCCATCCAAGTTTTTTCTCCCTTAACCAATCAGCGTCTTAGGTTTTGTGACGTCAACAAGCTGGCAGCAAATTATGTCATTTTGTTGTGGGTTTTCATAGATTTTAGTCCAAATAAATTGATCTGTTGAGGTTTATTTGTGTTATTATGATNAAGAAAAATCCTAAAATCTTATGAGGAAAAAAAAATTTTTTTAAGAAAAAAAAACAGCGGGAAAATTTATCAAATTTCGTTCCGGTTTTTTGGTTTTCCGATTTCCGGATAACGGGTTCTGTACTGTACTTATTTTTTCATTCAACGTGCGGTATGGAACTCAAAAGGAATAACAGAGAGCGCCTATATAAAAATATTTAAATTTAATTAGGGAAATTTCAAATTTACATGTTGTGCTGCGGTTTGGATTCATGTTCTGATATTATAATTGTTCATCAATAAATTAATATTTTTTCTCCTTTAGAAATGACTTTATTTAACATTTTAGATAATAAATTTTTAACTTAATATTTTGTTAGTTCTTACTTTCTCCGTTTTTTTTTTTTATTTGGTCACAAAATTTTAACCTCTATGTTGAATCTACTTATTAATATTATTTTTGCTTTTTTACACTTAATTTTAATAAATACTAATCTTTAATTTTTATGGGCTAATGAACCTAATTAGCTTTAGAGTGTTATGTATGGCAATTAATAACCTTTTATGTGTACCACCCTGTAGCAGAATTTTTTCGAACTATCTGCGACAAAACTCTTTAGTACTAATATTTTTTCTGAAAGATACGTTTAATAATATGAAATATATATGCTACTAATTTAAAGTAACAAAAGCACTGCGTCCTACAAAAAAAAAAAACTATATGTTTTTTTTTAATTGACATGTAATAGTTTTTTATTCTTATATTATGTTGGTTATATTATGGTTCTCATTTAGTTGGGGGTGGGGAGCACAAATTATTTCCTTATTCACATTTTGTAAATAATCATCTGAATAAAAAAAAAATGAAATCCACAATAGTAATTGCCAAAAAAAAGATTGACGACGAAATCATGTGAATCGAACTCCTCACATGCGTGTTTCGGTCCTAAATTATATTGTTGTAATAAATAATATCGTATTATAAAAAATATCGGAATTAAAAGCTATGAACAAATCAACAGCAATAACAGCCGAAAATTCGATAGAATTATTGCCTTAAAAAGTAAATATTCAAATGTACCTACTATTCGAATTTTCCATATTATTTGAAATATATCGAAATATTTAAAATCCATGTGAAAATCAATATCAAAAACTGCCGAAAACACAATAGAAACATGACATCGATTTACGATACTATCGGTGTAAATTGAACTCGTCAAAAAGTGATTATTTAAACGCATGATTCAAATATTACATGTGAAGAAAAAAATAGTAACCCTGTAGAAAAAAAAAGAATTTTTTTTTTACTTTTCAAAATAAAATCTTTCTGCTAGAACTCTAACGCTCTGCGACAATGTCTCTGTGATTCTGCCACGAAGGTTTACCATAACATGAATTACTGAATTGTAAAGTTCGATTTTTTCTCCAGCTTGTCTATCATAATAAGTTTTTGAACAACTTAATGAATATTTAAGTGGTCTTACTAGCCCACTAAATTTTCATTGTTGGTGTGAACCTAAAAATATAAAGTAATTTACGTTAATTCAATATAAACCACAACGTTGGACCACCATACTCTGTGATATGTACACCACTGTAGCCCGGAGTAAAGTAAACATTTCGAGATTGCACACAATGCATTTTTTTATAACAATGATGCATTGCAATTATTGTTGTAAAAAAAAAAACAAGACATGATAAGAGAGGTTTAAAAAATGTTTGATCATTTTTAAAGCATACTGCATTCGTCCTCTCCTAGATATATAATACTAATAAGTTGTATGCTTTAACTTAAGATACAAAAAAATTTATAAAAATAGCTGAAAAAATCACACAATTTCAAATAGTTAATCATAAAAACTACGCTTATATTCTCAAGTAAAAACTACTTTTACAACATAATACGCTTTTAGAAATTAGGTTTAGAAAAGTAAAAATAATATTACACTCGCTTGATTAAGTATCATCGGATGACTGTCTATTGTCTTAAGTATTTATTACTTACATAATATTATTAGATGTAAGCTTATTTACGCTCTTGAACCACATTAGGTACTGGAACAAGGGCGAAGGCAAATCAATCCTTGGTGAAGGATATTTTATTTTGAGATTTGATTTCAAATAACTAGTTCACAGCATTTGCTGACATTTCAGCTATAATACAAGAGTGCTAATCTAAAATTATATTTCCTAAAAATATTTGATCAGATCCTGCGTTAAAAACCAGCTAAAATTGTATACAAAAATTCTGATGATGATGATGACTGGTGAGCATTCTTGGACTACTTTGCTGAAGTTTGCTTATAGCTCGCTCATCGTTGGAATGAGTGCTTGAGGCCAGGGCTAAAGAGAATACAAGGGCTAGTTCACTCCGCTCTTAGAGCTGAAGCTACGATTTCCCTCCTCATGACGTCACTGTGTCCACAGATCTCGGAGATCGCAAGCAAAGATATTATCATAACTTTGCATCCTTCTCTTCGTAAAAATAAGTTAGACTTTTTCTGGTTATTAGCCTTCAAACTTTACGTAATTAACACATTATTTCCGTTCATAAACATAGTTCAAAAAAAACTTTCTTGGTTATTATATTAAAAAAATACCATTTTAAACTTATAAAAATGTTTTGCCAGTTGGTGAAAATGACACGATAAATACTTTATTTTTAAAAGTTCAGTTTTAACTTTAACTATTAAGAAAAATGAAGGCATATATCGACACTTTTTTTATCTACATATTCTTTTATAACGATAAGTTAAGTTAAATTTAGAATCCCTGATTTTAAAATATGTCGTTAATAGCAATTTGTTCATACTTAATCATTAGGAAACATCAACCTTAAACGCTAATTACTGAAACAAAATAATAATTTAGGTTCATAATGACATTAGAAATTTTACAATTGTTTATAGACATTTAAATTTACGATGATATAATTTATAGATATTTAAATTGAAGAGAATATAATTTTTAAAAAAAATCATAAATATTTAGAATAACTACATTAAAAAATATGTTATGAAATTAGGAGAATTTCAACTATATACTATATATTTTATTTATACTTTTTACTTACATTTTAATTTTCTTTGACTTTATCTATTTTTTAATTCTTTTCACCTGCCTTTCTTTATGAAGTAACGAGGCGGTTTCTATTTAGATAATGAATTTTTATAAAAGTTCTTTACGACAGAATAAACGTATTGCTGTTTTATATTAACTGTGTCATTTCGGAATCCATTCTTTACATAGTTGTTCATTTACTTTAGGGAACACGCGAAAAATTATACTTTTTCCTTTTGTTTTTATATCAGAATTTTTGCAAGTTGCAATCGCGCAAACTGGCATTTCGATAATAGTTTTAAATTCTTGTAAATTCACTGCAAAAACTGAGGAAAGTCATTATAGAAAATAACAAATGTCTTAGAATATCTCGCAAAAAGAAATGATCCAATATTAGTTAGAGCTAGTAAGGCCAAACGCTCCGTTCTTGAAGTAAAAGTGCGAGCTTTGCGCCAAAGTGACGTCACTAGAGTGACGTTGGAGGATCGGCGCGGCAAGAGATACTTCAAAGGAGTGAACCAGCCCTTCTATTCTCTTTAGCCCTGGCTTGAGGCTGAGTGTATGTGCAGGTTGTTGTTGTTGTTCATTTACGTCGCACTAGAGCTGCAGAATGGGCTATTGGCGACGGTCTGGGAAACATCCCTGAGGATGATCCGAAGACATGCCATCACAATTTTGATCCTGAACGGAGGAGATGGCACCCCCACTTCGGTAGCCCGACCACCTGCACGCGAAGTCGAGCACTTTACGGTAGAACAGTTTAACGAGGACCAATACCCCACACCCTCGGTCCCTACGCAGTCTGATCCAAGTGGTCACCCACCCGCACACTGACCGCAGCCAGTGAAGCTTGACTTCGGTGATCTGCTGGGAACCGTGTCTTAACGATCAGTCCACTGCGGGACTAGTGTATGTGTAGGGTATTGTACTTTATTTACTTCGTAGTTGCTGTTGTTGCTGTTCATTTACGTCGCACTAGAGCTGCACAATGTGCTGTTGGCGAGGGTCTGGGAAACATCCCTGAGGATGATCCGAAGACATTCCATCACAATTTTGATCCTCTGCTGAGTGGATGGCTCCCCCGCTTCGGTAGCTCGATGACCTGCGCTCGAAGTTATTTACTTCGTAATCTTAGCAGGTAGGTACTTTTATTTACTTAACAGAAGAGCTGCACAATGGACTTTAGGTGACGGCCTGGGAAACATCTTTAAGGATGATCCGAAGGCATGCCATCACAATCTTCTGCAAAGAAGATATCAATAGGTTCGGCAACTTTCTCAATTTAGACATAATTCTGAAGGGAAACAAAATCTTCCCCAGATCCCTGGACCCATGGACCGGAGAAGACCGGTTCCACGCCTTTGGCTCTTCACCTTTCCCTCTCCCCTTCTTTTCATTTGTATAGGAATGTACTGTGATATTTTTCCTTTTCTCAATATTTTTGTTTTTCATTAATAAAAATATTTTTTTCTTCAAATTTCCATGATGCTTTCTTTCAGAACTATGTTCAGCAACCGACCACAGGATTTTCGGTTCAACAAATTTTACGAACACGTATATCGCATGTACTTGGTGGGTCTTAAAGGAGTCGATGATCGAACTTTGGTCCTCCCAACTGGAGTCTGATTCACTAAAATTCATCAAAATAAAATTCGTTCAAATCGGGTTAAAATTTGTCGAATGATTTCTGGATTATTACTTCCGATTTATTTACTTATTTATTTTTGTTTAAGTTTGAATAGCGCGTCATTCAATATTATTGTATTTGTAGTGTTTGCGATATAAAAATTTCTTTTAACTTATTTTTCAATGAAGCGAAAAACAAAGGAGGGGCGAGTGGAACCCCCGCGAAATGTTGTGCAAAGCGCAAAGGTGGTGGGTTCAAATCTCGCTGTTACCCTGGATGTATTTTCGTGCTATCCTTCCTGTATTGTGCTAAAAGTCCTTCTATTTGACAAAAGTTTATAAGGCCTAAATTGAGCACACAAGCCTGCAAATATATGTAATTCCAATTAAAAAAAAAGCAAATGATAAGAGGAGTGGCGAGAGAAGAAAGCCATATAACCCTCAGTTGAAGGAGGGGGGGGGGTGCTTAAGCGTAAAAGCAATATATCCCAGCAATCGAATACACCATCAGGGGAGAAGAACGGTTCCACGCCCTTGACCCTTCACCTTTCCCTCCCCCCTTCCTTTCATTTTTTTAAGAATGTACTGTGATATTTTTCCTTTTCTCAATATTTTTTTTTTCATAAATAAAAATATTTTTTTTCTTCAAATTTCCATGATGCGTTCTTTTAGAACTATGTTTAAAGTAGTTTTCAGTTCCAAGCAGTTTCCCAACTTAAAAGATTTTAATCTATATGGATATCAAAATTGAGAAACTAACGTACTTTCTTCTTCTATGACTCTCCACATGCTACTTGTAAAAGTATACGAAGTGTTGTCATAAGGTAGAGAGTTCATGCACCACTATGCCACCCGAAGCCCACTTCATTCGTAAATGATCCTCTTCATGGCCTAAAAATTTTCTTCGTCTTTTATAGTTTTATATTTTTCCATAAAATTATCTAGGCATTTCTCGCAATTGGAAATTTTACAATTTTAATTAATGAAATAAAAAAGAAACTTAATGAAAAGATAGCAAAAGCTAAGTATTACATTTTTTTTTCTCTTGCGAGCTTCATAAACAGCTCGCCAGTTACATAAGCAGCTATGAATTCAGTTAGCTGAAGGTCGTGAGTTCGATCCTCACCTGGGACAGTACTTTTTTGTAGCAGTTGTTTCGAGTAATGATACATTTTGCCGAACTAGTATTAAATTAATGGAATGATAGTTAAAGTTAAATATTATATTTCTTCACTCTCTCCCGTGCCTTGGTAGCGCAGTAGGCAGCGCGTCAGTTTCATAATCTGCTCTAAATTGAGTTATCTGAAGGTCGTGAGTTCGATCCTTACCCGGGGCCGTACTTTTTTGCGGGAGTTATGTCGTGCAATAATACATTTTGCCGAGTTCATATTAAAATAACGAAAGGATAGTTAAAGTTAAATATTATATTTCTTTACTCTCTTACGTGCCTCGGTAGCGCAGTAGGCAGCGCGTCAGTCTCATAATCTGCTCTAAATTATATTATCTGAAGGTCGTGAGTTCGATCCTCACCCGGGGCAGTAGTTTTTAGTAGCAGTTATTTCGTGCAATAATACATTTTGAAGATTTAATATTAAAATAATGAAAGGATAGTTAAAGTTAAATATTATATTTCTTCACTTTCTCCTGTGCCTCGGTAGCGCAGTAGGCAGCGCGTCAGTCTCATAATCTGCTCTAAATTGAGTTATCTGAAGGTCGTGAGTTCGATCCTCTCCCGGGGCAGTACTTTTTTGTGTTAGTTATGTCGTGCAATAATACATTTTGCCGAGTTAATATTAAAATAATGAAAGGATAGTTAAAGTTAAATATTATATTTCTTTACTCTCACGTGCCTCGGTAGCGCTGTAAGCAGCGCGTCAGTCTCATAATCTGCTGTAAATTGAGTTATCTGAAGGTCGTGAGTTCGATCCTCTTTTGGGGCAGTACTTTTTTGTGGGAGTTATGTCGTGCAATAAAACATTTTGTAGGGTTCATATTAAAATAACGTAAGGATAGTTAAAGTTAAATATTATATCTCTTCACTCTCTCACGTGCCTCGGAAGAGCAGTAGGCAGCGCGTCAGTCTCATAATCTGCTCTAAATTGAGTTATCTGAAGGTCGTGAGTTCGATCCTCTCCCGGGGCAGTACTTTTTTGTGTTAGTTATGTCGTGCAATAATACATTTCGAAGAGTTAATATTAAAATAACGAAAGGATAGTTAAAGTTATATATTATATCTCTTCACTCTCTCACGTGCCTCGGTAGCGCTGTAAGCAGCGCGTCAGTCTCATAATCTGCTGTAAATTTAGTTATCTGAAGGTCGTGAGTTCGATCCTCTCCTGGGGCAGTACTTTTTTGTGGGAGTTATGTCGTGCAATAAAACATTTTGCCGAGTTAATATTAAAATAACAAAAGGATAGTTAAAGTTAAATATTATATCTCTTCACTCTCTCACGTGCCTCGGTAGAGCAGAGGCAGCGCGTCAGTCTCATAATCTGCTTTAAATTGAGTTATCTGAAGGTCGTGAGTTCGATCCTCTCCCGGGGCAGTATTTTTTTGTGTTAGTTATGTCGCGCAATAATACATTTTGCCGAGTTAATATATCGATCCTCTCCCGGGGCA